CCCCTTTCTTCCCCAATAGCCCCCCATCCCCTTCCCCATGTCCCCTGTGGTACCTCAGCCCCCCTCCAGGCAAAGGAAACCCACATCCCAATGGAAATAGGGCCCCCCCTTCCCAACGGGTGACCCATTAATGGCATCATAAAGGTCCAAAAGTCCSCTGCAATCACTCCCTGGYTCCTGGTCAAGGGCTAATTCCCCTTTCCACACCTTGGGAGTCCAATCTTCAATTGCTCACCCTTATCAGCACAAATCCAGATCATCTCAGGAAGTTAAAATTGCGTTGGAATAGCTCTACTTCTCCCTAAATTACATTTTCCCATCTTCTTCCTGAAGGCCTCTCAGAGACTTCAGGCCAGTACAGCCTTAAGGGTGTTTACAATGGGGAGGAATTTGTGTTTGAGGAGAGCAGCTGGTCYTTCATCAACTTCCTCAAGCTKCTGTGGCACTATGGCCTCAACCCCCTGCGCATGTCCATGTGGGTGGAGGACATCCTGGACAAGTTCATGAGGTGGGTTGGGCCCTGAGGTGGAAAAAGTGGGAAAGGACCTTGAAAACACCTCATTCCATGGGCGGGGATGGAATCCACTGTCCCAGGGTGCKCCAAACCCTGTCTAGCCTGGCCTTGGACATTCCCWGGGATGGGGAAACTTGAGAAAACTGTGTGCCAGGACCCCTCAACAACCTCATAAAAATCCCCAATACCCACCCTAAACCTCNGTGGTGGATTCCTGCTCCTGCATTCTTTCCAGCCCCAAAAGGATGTTTATCCCCCACTCATTTTCCCCACTCTGATGGTGGAAATCCTTGCAGGTGCCCTGTCGTTGGCCTGGGTGCAGTCAGGCCTTTGGTCTGTGAAAGGKGGGAACAAACTGGTGTGCAGCGGCCTCATCTACTCCTCCAAGGCTGARGTTATCCCGGCAACAGTTGTGTCCATTGAGCCAAAAACCAGACCCAGGCCTGGTGGTGAGTTGGGAACGGCCACACTGGAGACTGACCTTGAGCCCCTTGGGGTTTCAAAATGGAAATTCCTTTCTGTGAGGGTAGGGAGGGGCTGGGAATTTCCACAGGAGCTGTGGCTGCTCCTGGATCCCTGGGAATGCCCGAGGCCAGGCTGGATGGGTTTGGAGCAACCTGGGACAGTGGGAGGTGGTGGAATGTGGTGGGTTTTAATGTCCCTTTCCACCCAACTCATTCCATGATTCCTTAAAAGAGGGCTCAAGCCCCAGCTGCGAACTCAGCTGGTACGAGTTTATAAAGCAAATGGTTTATGTTGAAATGCCTGGTGCAGTCGGAATTTCCTCTGTCTGTGGATCGGGATAACCGAGCTGTTCTCCACAGGGGACCCGGTGAAGCTGTACCAGGTCACCTACAACACGTCCTCGGGGCTGACAGGGGACACCTACGACATCGTGCTCATCGCGGCCCCGCTCAGCCACAGGATGGCCAACATCAACTTCCAGAACTTCGACCCTCCCATCCCAGAATTCCCAAACCCCTTCCACCAGACCGTCACTACCCTGGTGCAYGGGCGCTTGAACGCCTCTTTCTTYGGCTACCAGGACCCCCAGGCCTTTCAYYTGGGGGCCATTTTCACCACRGACAACCCCAAACTGTTCTTCAGCAGTCTGGATGTGGTGTCACCGGTGGAGGATTCCAGCACAGGTGGGAAGCTGCCATTACAATTTGCTGTCTGGAGAGTGTTCTCCAACGAAGTGCTCACCAAGGAGCAGCTCAATCTGCTCTTCTCCTCCTACGACTCGGTGAAGGTGAAGCCGTGGTTGGCGTATCCCGAGTACAGCGCCCCCGAGAAGTTCCCTCCCATCGTCCTGCATGARCACCTGTACTACCTGAACGGGCTGGAGCGCGCCGCCAGYGCCATGGAGATGAGCGCCATCGCCGCCCGCAACGCCGCCCTGCTCGCCTTCCACCGCTGGCACGGCCACAGCGCCAGC